GCCCCAGTGCAGTTGCGCCGCCTGCACACTAACTCCTCTTGTATATCTCTACTCACTCTGCTCTCTCGTCTCTCCCATGTGTAGTATTTTTTTTCAATCTAGAATCATTTTCTCACTCCACCTTCCGTTTCTCTGCTCCCCTCTCTCTGCATTCTCTTATCTCTCCCATTCCCCTCTATACCGTCTCTTACACTCTCATTTACGCTATCTCTCATCTCTCCCCACTCTCCTCTCATCTCTCCCAACTCTCCTCTCATCTCCCCAACCAATACTCTTCTCTCTAATCTGCTGCATCCCCCCCCCCCTCTCTACCTCCCCTATTTCCATCATGTCTTATTGTTCTTCCCTCCCTTCTATATCTCCCATCTCACCCCCACCACAGCTCTCGCCTCTTTCATTTATACTTCATACCTCGACCATTCGCACTCCCAAATCCCCATCCCAACCCTATGACTCGGCGCTCTACACGTGGGCAGTTTGGGAACTGAAAGTGAAGGAGACGCGCAGGGGAGGGATGGAGTCGGACAGGGAGAGATGGTAAGCGGTAGGGGTGAAGGGAAGGTAGCAGAGGAGAGGAGACAAAGGAGCGAGGAGGATGAAAGATAGGGAAATAGAGAAGTGCTCGGAAAAGGAAGGGTGGAATGATTTATGACGGGTAAAGGGGAGGTTAAGGAGGCAGGATGGAGAAAATCAGGAAGGCAAGGAAGTAACCATAGGAGAGACGCAGGTAGGAGTAGGCAGGCAGGGAGGGATGATGAGAGGAAGGTAGGGAGGAATACAGGGAGGAAAGGGAAGGATTGAGAGACTTAGGCATGCAAGGAGGAAACTAACGATAGCGATAGGGAGGGGGAGAAAGGACATATCGAGCTAAATCAGAAGTCAGAAGGCAGGGGGGTGGTAGAGAACGAGGCAAAGAGGGATGGAGTGTCAGCAAGGCAAGGAGAGAGGAGCAAGGGAGGGAGGAAAGAGTTAGTGAGGGAGAACAGACACAGAGGCACGGAGAGAGGGAGGCAGGGATTCGTCGGGAAGGAAGCGAGGAAGGCACTCAGACGTGCCGTCTGCCACTTTCATCCAAACAGGGGCACCCCTCCCCACCACCCCTGCTGCCGCTCTCTCTCCCTCCCTTCCCGGGTCCCCAGCTAGCCCCAACGACCCCTATGGCCCCATCCATTACCATTATTATGCCCGCAAGTTACATAACAGACGGTCTTGCCGCACGACAGTTAAATATCACAGCCACAAACACGCACCGCGTGCTCAAGACCTCTTAAGCCACAAAGACCCCCGTATAGCCTTAACAGACTCTTGGAGCAAGTCACCGTACACGCATACACAACTCGAAGAGTCAGTAAGATCGAAAATATGTCCCTGCTCAAACTAGTATACGGGGAGTGCAAAAGAAATCCACTGGCGGTCCTAAACCTCTGTCGACAGTCCACACTGATATCAAAAAGTCCAGGATAAACATAGGAAAACCACTTAGGAACGTACTGTATAGCAAATAGCACACACAAAATTAGGATTCATTTCGCGATGTAATGTGTGTTCCCCTCCCCACCACCACGGAGCCGCACAACATCGTTATTTTGATTAAACACTACTCACGGTTATTTCCAACGTGTTTTCACCTCGACCAAAAACGTCACTCCCCGGAATATAAAACAAAAACAAGAGGTGGGTGGGTGACGGGGTGGACTCGGAAAATTTACGAAGCACGTTCAGTTGTTTATACAACGCTAATAATACAACCACAACCGCTAATAATAATTATACCACAAGTCCCGGCGTGTCCTCTTAAAGCCCCGCTCCTGGCCTCTCGCCCGGCCATCAAAACCCTGGCTGATTTTCAGCCCCGAGATGCTGGGCTGCTGGCGAAAAACAAACGCACTTCTTCTTTCTCTCGCGCTCGCTGGCCGAGCACCTATTATAGTCCTTCTTTGTGAGTTTTGTGTAATTTTGGCCAGCCGTGATGTAAGCTTTTATGGGTCGGGTGGGTGGGTGACGGGTGGAGAGGACTGGCGTCATTCCTCGTATCTTCTTCCAACCACGAATGGCTGGAATGATGCAGTCTGCCTTCTTTGCCAGGTGCTCTGTATTTTTTCAGGCCGAGGTGACCTACGAGAGGCAGACGAGAGGTGCAAAACATGGCACGGGTGTTTGGATGTGCAGGAACGGGACCCCAGGTACCCTACAAGAGCAAACATAAACACATTGTTATTATATCAAGTCACTGCGATGTCACACACCCACCCATCCACCCATGGATTCGGTTCTCAAAATATTTCAACAGAAACAAGAACACTATAATAATAATGAGTTATATCTGTTTTTTACTTTTACCCCAAGGATAGTTTGAGTATTAAAGACTCCTTTTCCAGAGGGATGTATTCGGATGTATGGCCAATTCCTCTTGAAAGATTGTTTTGCGTGTGGGCGGAACCGGACCACTCTAAGTAAAGCTACAATGCGTACGAGGGAATAACATTCAAAAGGTCGGCAGAGATGCTATTAACAAACCAACTTGCTGTACTGCTACGTCCTGGCCACCATGTAGGCCAGTTAGTTTTGAGAGTTTTTCAATTTTATCTGTGATCTACCGAGCAGTGTACACATTTCAAGGGAGGGGGGTAATTGTTTTCCAACCAAGCTTACTGAAATTTTAATCTATAAATATAAATAAATTATTTACAACTTTGCATTCAAGAAAAATCTCAAAAATGGTCTATGACATAATGGTCAACCCTGGTTTTAAACATTCTGGATCAGGCAGAGGCATATTCCACATTTTTCGTACGAAAAATCACCATCCAAAATTAGGGTGTTGTGCGATTCAAACTGTACATAGCAATCACCTTGGGATTGAATTCCTAACAAAATTATTTCAGGAAAACAGAAAATGAGCCTGGCAAGTCATTGTGAAATACCGTAAGCACTGGCTCAATAACGGAGTCTGAAGCTCATTCTCGTTAGCTTCAATCCTCGACTCAAACCATATTCCCTGCTGGTCCTCTGCCCGTGTTGGAAATTCCACATTCCCTTGAGGGAAACCAGTCCATCCACAGAACTGCTGTCGACTACCAGAAAGGGGGTACTCATGTTACCGGCTGGAAGGACAAAAGGATTTGAACTTGGAACCTTCCAATTGTGACTCAATCGCACCTGATGATAGAGACCATGTGTGAATGTGCGTCCCATGTGAGACAAAGATCCCTCGGAGCATTTAATAGACTGTTTCGGCAGGGCTGTCAGGGAGCACCTATTAAGGCCTGCATGTCGCACAAAGGGGTGGTGGTGTTCCCAGGAACTCGCCAAGCTGCCTTTGTCTCCCAAGTGCTGCAATGTTTACACACCGCACCTGTTACTCATTTAAGGCTGAGTCGATCTGGAGGAAGTGATAACTTTAGAGCACTTGCCCAACCAATCTACATTAGGGATCTTTGTTTTTTATTTTATTTTTGTTCCACTTCATGTAGCCAACACCAATTAAAATGTAATATTAGCGATGTGTGTACATACCTATCAATGTAATGAGGATTAAAATCAATATGGACACCTCCAATTAGCACGGTTGGCTATATACGATGCGAAATTTCAACATACATAGAGAGAACATTCCTTATTTGAGTCAACATTTTACTTCACACGAGACGTGTTTACCAATCATTAGACGCGTGCAGTGTGTAACATCTGAACAGAGAAGACAAACACAGAAAGGCACACTATGGTAGAACGCCAAGACTGGCGTTTGAGTAAACGTTGCGTTATAAGCTGAAGAAAAAAAACATCCCTCCACTTGTTAAGACTGAATCCCACACCAGGTCGCTTATTTTAGCAGTGAGTCATCTTCATTCTAATGCCTCTGGCTACAGGCCACTCAGACAAACCGTAATGTAGTTAGCAGACCCGAATAGCAAGCGCCACCCACTGCTAGATGCAGACAGATTTTTCAATCAAAAGCGATGTTTGCAAACACCCGTCGAAAACAATGCACTCCGGGGCGTAGTACAAAGCCTGTTGTTTATCGCCCAATATTATCGTTGCTACTCCTTGTTTTAAACATTAAATGCTTTGCACGCAAGGGCCGCACAATGGAGTGCGTCATTCATGTTTGGATGCAGGGCGTCTAAAAATACGCGACTTAAGGATGCGTCTTTCATCTCGAACCGGCAAAGGAATCAATTAATGAAGCCGGCCGCTTGTAAATACACACAGCACACGCTCACACTTTTTGCACCGCTGCGGGCTCAATAGCGGGAGTTGGTAACGCAATCCAAATTGAGCCGTGTGTATACCTCAATCAATTGGGAGAGGGGGGGGAGAAGCACACAAAAAACAACGCGGACTCGTCCAACTGAAACGCCGACACGAAAACACAACCAGCAACCCTCGCTTTTCTGTCAAACAACATCGCTTTTCTGTCGAACATCTCAAAGCAGTCTTACCACAAGCTACCCACTGAGTTGGGAGCAAAATTATCCCATCTATGTTTGGGTGGGTGGGGGGTGCATATTTTTCCCCACAACACTAAACACTGCTAAGAAATTTTGATTTAAAGCTTTCGTGACTGCAGGGATTCATATTCTTGGTTCTTTCGGTAAAGTCACGTAGAAGGGAAAAAAAATACATAAAATAAAATTCTCACGACGTTTCGACTGCAACACAAGCAATCATCATCAGATGTGAAAACCACAAGAAAATGTGTTGCAGTCGAAACGTCGTGAGAATTTTATTGTTTTATGTATTTTTTTTATTTTAAACCACATTTTCTCGTGGTTTTCACATCTGATGATGATTGCTTGTGTTGCAGTCGAAACGTCGTGAGAATTTTATTTTTTCATATATTTTTAATTATTTTGTTTCCCTTCTACGTGACTTTTCCGAAAGAACCAAGAATACTGCTAAGTAATTCACGTTTTGGAAGAAGCCAAGGTTCTGGACAGTGGGATTTTGTAATGTAGAAGGCACTTTACAGAGGATATGACTACCACTCCTTATACACCGTGACTTGTTGATTGTTGCTCATTGGGATGGCCGATTGGAGTTGGCGTGTTTTAATTGGAGAGGTAATACACAGTGAGGCTCCAGTGTTAAGCCTCAAAAGACCGTCTTGTTAAACTGGAGTCATTGTTCACTACCGCATTTACCAAACACAGATCCATGCACCACATGCTGCACACACCTTATGATTAGTAAACACGTCCTCTTTGCATTCCTTTAAATAAAGCCGTATGCAAGAACAGGTGCGCAAGGTTGATTGTTGCTCATTGGGATGGCCGATTGGAGTTGGCGTGTTTTAATTGGAGAGGTAATACACAGTGAGGCTCCAGTGTTAAGCCTCAAAACACGGTCTTGTTAAACTGGAGTCATTGTTCACTAGCGCATTTACCAAACACAGATCCATGCACCACATGCTGCACACACCTTATGATTAGTAAACACGTCCTCTGTGCATTCCTTTAAATAAAGCCGTATGCAAGAACAGGTGCACAAGGTCTCCATCATGTTCTCTACATCTCGTGAGATGCATTTGCCAATAATCAGGTGTGTGCAGCGTGTTAACAACGCACTCCCAATAAACACATAGGGCTTATCTTGCAGAAACGTACCTAGCCTGTGTCCTGGCCGATGTGACACAAGTTCAAAGTTTCATGAGAAAAATAACACTTTAAAGTCAGTCAAGCATGCCACCACAGAGTGCTCTAGTGACATTACTGCACTGACGCTTTAAATGCGCGGGAGTGACGTGGAAGTACCTTTATAAACGCGCAACTTTTATAACCTAGGTTGTAACCATTGCGCAGTATTCATAGATTGAAAGCAGGTAACTGGAACCAATTTAGAGATCACTCGCTACTGACAGTAGCCGTGGCCTGGAATTAAACTTAGCATGACGGGTTCAGAACGTAGCACGCTAACCACTGCACCTCTAATCCACCTCTGGCTTTGCTTACAATTTTCACATGCTTTTTCGAAAAGAAAATTTATATATAAAACCGTACCAGGTATTATCACGCGCTTATATACAAAAATATAGCAGAAGCTCTTACACCCGCACAATCACAGCAGCAGCAATCAATTCACCAGGGGCCACGTGAAGTGTAGCCACAAGGAATTTAACAAGTTCAATTAAAATCGATTCTTTTGCTCTCAGTACATGCATTGAATAGTGTGCTTGAGAATCAATCATTTTGTGATTCGTGCAGATTACATGCAAATGTTGCCGTCTCTGCTGAAGAAGCAAACGAGAGTCCAAACGAGAGAGAACCAACGCTAACGAGATGGTAATGAGACGGAAAAAAAGAATCGATTATTGAATCAATTAATGACCCCGAATCATGACAAACTGTAAAATCTGTGGGTGTGGTGACCAAATCATTAACATGCACCAGGAGCCACATTACATGCATTACCGCCAGTGCTATAGGTTTTGTGTTTAGTTTGCTGTCCTTCCCCCGCACCTCCAATTAGCACGGTTGACTACGTACGGTGCAAAAGAAGTTCAACATACATACATACGTACTTGGAAGCATCAAGTTTAACCCATTCAAGGTGCGGCACCGATTTGTAAAACAGAAACCTGGCATTAATTCCAGGGTATCCCTGCGAGATAGCCTGCTAGCTCAGGGGGTCAGAGTACTGGGCTGGCACTGCTGACAACCTGGGTTCAGTTCCAGGATTTTAGCCACCGGCTGTGCTTAAAATTAATTTTTCAAGTGTAGCAAGTTGAGGGAAACAGCCCAGTCGCACTCGTGACTGAGCACAAAACATCCATCATATTAAATGTTTTTTTACTTAAATTTGGCAACATTTCAGCTCTGAGAATCAAAAATGTTTTTAACATGATTTACACGTGATGAACGTTAAGTGCGGGGCTTGCGTGTGTTTAGGAGTATTTAGCTGCTGTACATTTCCACGTGATGAGCCACTTCATTGAGCCATCATTTGTGGTCAGGTCGCTTCTGAAAAGAAGCTATATAGCTCAGTGGGCCTTACCTGGTTAAATAAAAATAGTAAAAAAAATGTAAAAGGTGTGCTCCTAGTGTGGATATAGCTACCTAACTTTGCAAGTGACCTCAGCAGTTCTGTTATATCTTCCAGGGCTGTTCTCCCAACACCCTCCATACACACAGGACTCCCAGCATCAACACTAGGGCACCCTGCATTAACATAAGGCTATCTACATGAACACTAGAAAATTCCTCATTTGTGCAAGGACACCCTGTGTTAACACAAAGGCACCCTGCTTTAACACTAGGGCACTATACATTAATACTAGGCACCCTATATTAACACTAGGCACCCTGCGATAACAGAAGGGCAAACTGCATTGCCATTAGGCTGCCGTGCAAGAGCAATGACACCCTGCACTACAACTGGGACGCCATGCAGTACCCATCGTAACATTCTTCATTTACACAGGGCACCATGCGCCAGTATCAGCGCATGCTGCGCCAGCACTCCGGCACCATGCGTCAACATGAGGGCAGCTAGCACCCGTGCAACACAGTCCCTTTGGTAAGCACCAGCGCGCCCTTGCACTGGCACCACAGCACGCTGCTGTCGTACGATGCCGTGTCACGCTACACGAGGCCATCATACAGAGACAGCGCCTGCACAATAGACGGGTCGGCCTTGGAGCCCTCGGCAAACTCCTGCAGAGACAGGCGTCCGTCCGCGTTCTGGCGGGCGACACAAGGGCACGGGGAGGATGTGAAAAGGGAAGAGGGTAGAGGTGGGGAGGTGATTAGTTTTCATCACTACAACGCACAGCAGTGGGGGTGTGGAAGGGTGATTCAGTGGGATAAAGCTTAGGCTCGTAAAGATACATAAATTCAACATCATCAGCCATGGTCAATCACGGCTGGATTAAGGTCTCCACAAGCCATTTATATCCATCACAGTCCTGAGTGGCAGTCAAAGGATGGTTCCACAGAGTAAGGAGGCAACAGTTTCTGATTTCCTCTGACAGTGATATCCTGAGCTAGAATTTAGTCATTAAGTACAATTTGACATTCAATATATATTTTTAATCATTAGTGACCGTGATGAGACTAAAACTCATTACACATCAGAACCAAGTTAAATCACAGGCAACTGTTAGGATTCGAACACAGGATCTCAGCGGTCCTAGCTCAGCACTCTTGACCTCTGAGCCACCCGGCTACTCAACCACATCAGAACACAAACATATTTAAACAAAATGATATAGTATCAATAATACGTTAAATAAATACACCAACAGCTTTACATGTAAATAACAAAACATTTTGTGATGTCACCTTCTTCGAGAGGCCGTTCTCTAACAAGGGGTGAAGTTACCTTGCTTTGAACTCGAGCTTCAAATTGGAATGTCTCCGTCTCATTGCATGACGCTCATGACGCAGACGGAATTTGCGAGAATAATAAAACCGAGATCAGTAGGCCAGAGAGAGAAAGAGTGGCCCGAGAGGGAAGTCATAATTCACCTTGTGCAATAACAATAATAATAACACGTCCTAACGTGTCCTTTGAGGAAACAGTAAATTTATTCAAAACGCAGCCTGTAGTTTAAAAAAAACAAAGCCTTGGACAATTCTAAAAAACAACCAAGCGACAATGCCAGTGTTTGTTCAATCCTCATACATTTCCTCTCCGCTCCAAAGTACACAAGCTTTGTTGAGCTACAGATGTAAGTAAAAAAAAATCAGATTTAATGCATCATTCCATGTGTATCCCCATACCCTACTGCTAAAGCTCCATCTGGTGGACAAGGCATGGCAGCACAAGCATGCTTTACACATGACCACGATCAGCACTGCTTTAACGGGCCATAGACGCACAACCCCAGACCTTAGCAGCCTGAGGTTTGACTTCGGGATGTAGAGATTATTCATAATGCAGCGAGGTTTCTATAGGTTGTGCCAACCTTGCATCATCCGGTGCTCACTCACCTTGTCCATGAGGGCGAAGATCCGGTCGACGCGTTTCTCCGGCGTGCTTTCTTCCTCCGGTAGCTCCACCGTGTTGCCCTGGGAGGTAAGAAGAGAGGACATGGAGGAGTTGGGAGCGTGGGAAGAGAGGAAGGGAGTTGTGGTCGGGTGTGAAGATGGAGCCACGTTAGTTTTTTGTCAGCAGTGTTGCTGCCCCCTTGTGGTCTCTTGGTAAATCATTCACATTAGACATGCACACGTACTCTACACGCGTACTCTACACGTAAAAGTACAGCCCTGTCGTCACTCCACTGCTGGATGAAGGCTTCAACAAATCGTATGCGTCGTGGGAGTTATTTCACCATATTTCAACATGCTGATTCATTTTTTTTATTAACGCCCATTCCTCTATTTTTGACATGTGGATCAGAAACGTAGAAATTTAATTTTATAAATGGGAAAAAAAGTGCATAAAGAATCTATAAATGTACGCTTGGCATTATACTGAGATAAAAAAAAGAGAAACACTAGGATTGGTCAATACAAGCAAGCTGGAGACATGATGATCGACAAAAGTGGGCTTGTGCAGGACACGTCGCAAGGCGGGACAATGCTCTATGGTCGTGACGGTGCATCCCCTGCGGCGGTGGAGATGATTAAATCAGCTCGGGTGCAGGTGCTAGATGGATTGATCCATTGCGTGACCGTGTCGGATGCCAACAGCTTGGCGAGGAAAATCGACGATTACAAGTCATCCAAAAACAGGACAATTGTTTATAACGTGCACCTCTTACGCGCTCGCTCATTAGCGGATTTGTTAGGTTGTACTGATGTGTGCACTTCGAGCCTGTGTATCAAAGGAATCACATGTCTGCGTGGAAAAATTAATTGTTGCGATTCCACGCCACTCACCATCATCTTGTAGATGGCGTCTACAATGTGCAGCATCTCCTGCCGCGTAATGTAGCCATCGCTGTCCAGGTCATACAACTTAAACGCCCCTGGGGGATAAGGACAGGCGACAAGATAGTGGTGGGGGGGGTGATGGGGTCAGGCTAGCGTTAGCTTAATAGGTCACACAACGAGTGTCACTGTTATAAGGCTATCTCACTCACCGGCTCCAACTCCAGCTCCTCACAAACAAATAAGGGACTGATTTGGTTCTGGTGGATAATTTGTGGAACTGTCATACCATTAAATACAATTCCGATGTATATAGCATATATACAGTACCGCGGTGGCGATGTTAACTACCTTCTTTAGTATACAGGATGTCGTGGGTTCGATCCCAAGCCTGACACCTGTATATTTGGAGTTTGTGTGTTCTCCCTGTGGTCGCGTGGAATTTCCTTCAGGTCCTCCGGTATTTCCCTCCAAATTTAGAGACATGTGTTTAGAGTGTTTGGCTGCTATAAATTTCCACGTGATTAGCCACTTCGTTGAGCCATTATTTGTGGCCAGGTCACTTCTGTAAAAGAGCATTATAACTCAGTGGGCCTTACCGGGTAAAATAAAAAGCGTTTAAATATAAAGAGGACCACATCTTAATATGGAGTGCAGAAAGGGTGAATATGTATTTAGTCATGGTGGGAAAAGGGGATGTCTGCTGGCCACCCGTCTTAATCCAAGTCATAGGGGGGGCCCCGATTGCTTCTCCCGCCCACTTGGGGCACCCGTCCGTGACTCACATTTGAGCTTCTCATCCATGGTGCCACGCGACGTAACCGACAGCGCTTGGATAAACTCGCCAAACTCAATGCGCCCGTCCTGGCCACCACACACATGGCGACAAGGAGACAAACACAGACATGGGCGGTTCCAGAAATTAGGCAACGTTACAGCTAAAGTTATCTTACTCATACTCATAATGAGCTGCCATTCTGAAGGTTCTCCTCTCACCAAGCGCCACCCAGGTCACGTACAAGGACAGCGCCTAACACACCAGGTCCATCACCGGGAAGGAACGCGGGTGCCCCACGAACCTTGTTCTCGTCGAACACGTTGAAGACGAACGACGCAAACTTGGAGGCGTCCCCGAACGGGAAGAACTGGCGATAAATCGTCTGGAAGGCGGCCGAGTCGAGCTGCCCATTAGGACAATCCTTCATGAAGCCTCGGTACCTGCAATGCACGCGATTTAATGTAACCACTCAACGTTGCCGTATGTGCCGTACAGCCCCAACAACTACAATATTCATAAGGCTACGGTTTAGTTTTGTGCGTTCACTCTACCTCTCTTAATGCTACCAAATATCTGCGACGCTCAGTAGGAACACATGGTGAGATAGCAGCCACTCACTCAATCAGCCCAGCAAGAGTGCACATAATACAATCATCTTCACTAACCTGCTTCCATTCCTCCCTTAAAACAACCCCCACCTCTTCTCCATCGTGGGCTAGGGAGAAGAGAACAAGAGCAATATAGCTCAATGGGCCACTGGGGGCCATCTATTTAGTATGTACGCAAAAATCTGTCAAAACTTGACCCTTCTCACCTCCCTGTACGTACGCGTACTTTTTACACACCCCCCCCCCACCTGCGTATGTACGCTTGACGCACCCCCCCCCGCCCCCGAATTATTTTTGTTGTTCTTGTTTACTAGCTTGCGGCCTAGCTTTACACACAGCTGTGTACAAAGTTATACTTGACTGTGTTATCCATCCTGACTGGTTATTCAAAAACACGTCTAATATGATCTTAAAACACAATTAAAACTCGGTGAACTAGTCTCTATATAAAGTGCGTCGACTGAACATCTGTTGTAACAGTAGACCGATGTACAGGCCAGTGTTAGTACTGAAGTCCGGGCAGCAGCAGCAGCACAAACAGAGCACCGTGGCAGCTAAAATCTTGAGCCACCGGCAGTCTGCAGTGAGGCCAGATTGAAGGATGTGTAATCCATGGGTCAGGCCGCCAGACTATGTCAGACTCACTGCTCAGCTGCGTGATAGCTAGCAGTCAGGGGTACGGTGGCATACACCCGACACCTCTCCCACAGTCCTACTTCTCCCGCTAGTACTTGTCTGACAGCTGAAGAAACTGAATTGTGGCTCATTTGAAGGCCAATGTAGATACCTTATTATGGAGGCTTCACCCCGCCGCACCCCCCGTTTCCTATGCGTACGCAAATTGTCAGTAGACCCCCCCCCGATACGCAAACGTATGCATTTGGGTTAATCCCCCCTCCATGCGTACGTACTAAATGGATGGCCCCTTACCTGGTAAAATAAAACAGAGTTTAGTTTAGTGACCTCACCATTGTTGGACTTCTTTCTCAGTGACTGTAACGACAAGCAGAGTGAAAACGTTCCATTAGCTTTCAGCAAGGTTGCTGCTGTGCTCCTGATTACGAGCTGACAGTGAGTATAACGACGATCGTCATAATCAAGATAGCATGATTATAACAATCATGCTGATGAAAAGAGCTATTATGTCGAAGTGGGCTATTCATGTGACAATGATTTAATAATGGTGACAAGTCAGAAGATGATGAAATGTATTATTATGAGCATGGTATTATTGACACCACTAACTGGTCGCCCCATAGTGATGTATGATAGTAGTTACATTAATCCAAATTACGCTAATTATGATTGGGGATGTCAATGATATACAGTATATTTTAATTGTGAAGTTAATGATGATGCTGTCCCTATTCACAGAAAGTTATTCTGGTGATGCATCGTGATGTTAATGATATTACACGATTGATGGTGATGATGTGAATGATATTGATGCTGATGACAATGATAATGAATCTGATGTTCACATTGCTACCGCTTTAAAGCTTTCGTGACTGCAGGGATTCATATTCTTGGTTCTTTCGGTAAAGTCACGTAGAAGGGAAATAATAAAAATAAAACAAAAAAATTATCACAACGTTTCGATTGCAACACAAGCAATCATCATCAGGTGTGAAAACCACATCAAGAAAATTTTGAAAAAAGTGATAATAACGCGGAAGTAAGACATTTCTTACCATCAATAAATCACAGTGAGTTACAGTTTTCTAGAAAACACGGACAACTTTAATGAAAATAATACTGCTGATGATGTTGTTGATTATACTCACTACGAACTGGACGTCAGTGTTGCTGACAATGTTCATGAAATTGCAAGATGCTGCTGCTGATGTTAATGATGCTTGAAGAGAACGCATTGCCATCATTAAGACAATTAGGTTAACGATATTAAATGCTGAGTATAACATGAACGATGCCAGTGATGTTCACGACATTAAGGATAACAATAATAACGATGTAAACGATGCTAAAAACTTACAGTAAGTCCTCCTCGTTATATCTTCTAGTTGATCTTGCCTTAGCTTACTACCAGACTTTCCCATCGCCAAACTAAAACGCTGCAAAACACCACAGAAAAAGTGAAAAAACATTCACAAATCATTACTACTACAACAACCAAATTACATTTAAAATATTGAGGTAAATCTATGACGAATCTTTTTTGTGTCGCCTCAAATTTACTTTGCAATCTCCAAAAAAACGTTTGTTTCGCCTCAGTATACTTTGCAATCGTCAAACTAAGACGGCGCTACACACCACCGAAACGCTTAATAACAATTACAAATCACCACTACCAAAATTCAACATCTTGAGGTAAAGGAAAGCCTAAACAAAAACTTTAAGTTTTGCCTCAAGTTTACTTTGCAATCGACCAAACTAAGACGCCGCAAACCACCGAAACGCTTGACAACAATAATAATAATTACAATTCATCACTACGTTTAAAATCGTGAGGTAAATGCAAGACTATAAAAAAAATAAACGTTGTTTTGTTTCACCTCAGCTTACTGGTTACGGGCGGGACACGTTCCGCTTGTCTCAGGGCGACGCCTCCGCGCGCTTTTTCTTATATATTTTATTTTTTTTGTTTAGTTTTTTAAAACGCCAATCTTTGGACGACTCCGCAGAAATGGGCGACGGCCGTTGTCGCTTCGCCCCTTCTCGTGCCGAGCCTTGCGAGGATTTGCGCGAGGACGCGACGACCCTTAGGGCCCGGGCCACACAGAGACGCGATGTACAGCAGCAAGAAGTCCAGTAGGAGGGGGGGGGGGCCCCCAGCCCCCCCCCCTGGAATGCGTGACGTCACCCGGCACGCCGCTGCCATGGCGACCGCGCCGTTACCGCCCGGAACTCGATGTCAAACCAGAGGGATTTTTTTTGTTGGTTTCTTTGAAACATTTAAATCACAGGCGACGAAGAGAAAGAAGCGAAGATAACAAAAAAGAGAAATAAGCGAAGAGGAAAAAACGAGAAAGATGCGTAGACGAAAAAAAAGAGTGGGGCCCCCGGATGCGTGACGTCACCCGGCACGCCGCTGCCATGGCGACCGCGCCGTTACCGCCCGGAACTCGATGTCAAACCAGAGGGATCTTTTTTTTTCCTTTAAAATCTTCAAACCGCAGGCGACGAAGAGAAAGAAGCGAAGATAACAAAAAAGAGAAATAAGCGAAGAGAAAAAAAGCCAATGGGGCCCCGGTATGCGTGACGTCACCCGGCACGCCGTTGCCATGGCGACCGCGCGCCGTTACCGCTCGCAACTCGATGTCAAACTAAAGGGATAATTTTTTTTCTTCCTTTAAATCTTCAAAGCTCAGGCGGCGAAGAGATAGAAGCGAAGACGAAAGAAGCGAAGACGAAAGGCAAAGGGGGCCCCTTGAATGCGTTCCACGAGGTCCATCGAGCACGCGGGTGACTGCACATGGAGGAGCGACTCGAGGCAACTCGGCATGGGAAATCATCAAAATCTCGACGTTTCGGAGGCAACACAAGCTTCCGTCTTCAGGTGGAACAGTCACAGCAAGATCGCTGCATCAAGTGGGGAGGCTCTGAGAGCCTCGAGCTTAAATCACTTTAAGATGTTTTTTCTTGTTCGTGTTTTTTGTTTGTTTGTTGCGGTTGCACCCGATGCAAGAGCCGGATGGCTCACAGGGCTATACCAAAATAAATAAACTGAACTTAAATACAGGTTAAGGGGGGGGGAGCCAAGTAGGGAACATTGATGTTGTGTGGAGCTAAGTTACTCGGTCTTTTGTTATGCTGAGGGTGCGGGGGATGCGGTGGGTCACTGCACGGGGGCAATGGAAAAATGGAAACAAAAATGGAAAAGTTCGGAAAGAATATGCTGTGCGCTTAAAAGGTAGCTAAAGTTTTGACTTGGTTTATGACTTCTTTCCAGTGGTTGTGTCGCCTCCGAAACGTAGTGATTTTCTTGTTGTCTTTTATTTTACTTTACCTACGTGACTTTACCGAAAAAAAAAACCAAAGAGTATGAATCCTTGCAGTCACGAAATCTTCAAATCTAGAATCATCAAATCTCCCAACGACCCGAAACTCTACCGGGCAGTGACTGTCCCCAACGGCCTGCAAAGCGCTGCTGGTGGGCGACATCTCCCGCTGTGACATCCACCCCCAAACGTGACGCTTCTACCCCGTCACACCATCACCACCACGCTGATGGTGGTGGTGATGAAGAGGAATGGACAGACATTGATGATGATAGCGATGGCGATACCGGCGATGATGATGATGGCGGTGATGGTGATGATGGTCCTAAGAGGCGGAAGACATCATTCCAGTCGGAGAAGTTGGCTGCAGCTGCTCTCTGTGTGTGGAAGTTGGCAGCGTCAGTGATCCGGAAAATATCCCAGGAACTTGCTCACTTCCCATGAACACATGGTGTTCATGGGAAGTTCTCTCTCTACCCCTGCGAGAACTCCCTGGATGACTTCCTGCGTCGCCACGGTGGCAGTGACAACGCAGGCACGGACTGTGAGCACACAACCTACACCCTGGACGTTGCAGAACACGTACCTACAGCTTGCGCTGCACAGATGGGCTCAATTTTTTTATATCTCCACTCATGAAAAGAGAGAGAGATAGCATGGAGAGAGAAGTGCAGACCGTGGATCGCGAGTTCCACGAAGCGCTGAAGTCTTGACTCACACAGAGTGGAGTCTCTAATGGGGGTACGCTTGCCAAGACATTGCATCCCATGGGACAATTATTTTGGGGCAACTCTGCGTCCCTGCTCCACTCTGCTCGAGCACATGGTCTGGACGTTCACGCTGCACTCCGCCAGTTCCATCAGCGGCACTACTCAGCCTGTAGGATGACACTCGCTGTGCAGTCCAGGGAATCTCTGGATCAGCTGGAGGAGTGGGTGACAGAAATCTTCTCCAAGATGCCCAACAACGGTCTCACCAGGGTTGACTTCTCGTCCCAGGGGCCTCCCTTTGAGATGGAAACTTTCCACAAATTATACCGAGTTTCCGTTAAGAAGCTCCACATCCTGCACATCACATGGTCTCTGCCACCTCAAGCCCATCACTACACAGGGTGAAGCCGCTCACCTATTTGTATTGGCTACTAGGTCACGAAGGGGAAGGCAGCGTCACAGCCACGCTGAGGCAGCGACTGTGGGCGACTTCTCTGAGCTGTGGAAACTCCGAGTCTGGATTTCAGCAAAACTCCACGCACTGCCTCTTCTCCTTCCGCATCACGCTGACCGATATCGGCCTGGACAACTTCTACCCGGTGGTCCACGTGGTGTTCCAGTACTTGAAGATGCTGCAGCAGCTGGGGCCTCAGGAGATGAGCTATCGTGAGATTCAGCACATTGAAGCAAACAACTTCAGATTTCAAGACCAGGAGGAGCCAATTGACACGGTGGAGAATCTGTGTGAGAATTTTCAGCGCTACGCTGCACACGATGTGATAGTGGGTGACCAGCTACTGATGGACTACCAGCCAGAGGTGATCGCCGCGGCTACGGACCTCATGACCCCGGGCCGGGCCAACCTCCTGCTGCTGTCGCCCAATCACGCGGCTCGCTCAGATCACGTGACCGAGGGGCGCTTCAACACCAGATACAGCGTGGAGGACATCGATCTGGCGTGGGGAGATCTGTGGACCGGTTACTTCCCGCTGAGTCTGGACCTGCACCTGCCGGAGCTAAATCCGTACATCGCTACGGATTTCTTACTTGTGGGAAATCATCATCATCAGCAGCAGCATCATCAGCAGGAGGAAGCTGAGTCTGATTATCCCCGGCTGATAGCATGTGATGGGCAAGGCAGTCTGTGGTACAAGCTGGACCGGACATTCCTCGTGCCCAAAGCCTACCTCAATTTCCAACTAATTTCTCCTCTGATTCAAGAATCCGCCGAAAACCAGCTGCTGCTGGACCTGATGGTTATGTCCGTGTCCCACTGCGTGTCCACCCGTCTCTACCCGGCGTCAGTGGCCCGTCTGCACTACCGCCTGAGTGCCGGCGACCGTCACCTCGGTATCCACTGTTCTGGCCACAACCACACGCTCCCGCTGCTCTTCCGAGCCCTGGTCCTGTCTCCGTCCGAGTTTTCTCCGTCCCAGCTGGTGGTCGATGCGATGTTGGAGCAGATCAGATGCAGCCTCCACAATGCCATCATCAAGCCGGACAAACTGGGCAGGGACGTGCGTCTCTGCTTGCTGGAGACTGAACGCCGGTCCCTCTCCAGCCGTCTCTTCTGTGCAACGAACGCCACCACCACCACTACCACCACCTCCACCACCAATGCCACCGTCATTTCGGCCGAGCGGCTGAGGCAGTTTGCTCGGCGCTTCCTGGCGTCGGTTCGGGTCCAGGGCCTCGCGCAGGGAAACCTCACGGCAGAGGAAGCATTTGAGCTGATAGACTTCTTATGCGAGAGGGTTGGTGGATAAGGCGCCGGCCCACCGTTGCCCCTGACCTTCCGGGTTTCCAGGCTCCCCGAGAAGTGTCGCCGGTCGTGCCGGCTGGCGTCACGGAACCACAGAGACTCCGGCTCGGACGTCACAGTCTACTACCAGTTTGGACCATGCACCATCAGGGAGAATGTGCTCATGGAACTTCTAGTGATGCACATGGAGGAGCCTTGCTTTGATTTTCTTAGAACCAAACACAGCCTGGGATACCACGTGTACGCAATGTGCAGATGTACATCCGGAATCCTGGGGCTGTCCATCAACGTGTCTTGCCAAAGCAGCAAACACAGCACGAGCTACGTGGAGTCAAAGATTGAGGGGTTTCTGTCTCACTACGAAGTCTCCCTCAGTCACCTCACTCAAGACGACTTCAAATCGCAGGTCAATGCCCTCGTCAGCCTCAAGCGCTGTGAAGATTCACACCTGGGGCAGGAGGTGGAGCACAACTGGGAGGAGGTGCTGACTGGACAGCTCCTCTTTTGTCGCGTGCAGAAAGAGGTGGAGGCATTGATGTCTCTCCGGTGTGAGGACCTCTCAGAATTCTTCTCCGCAGTGAGGAGGCACAGACGCATACTCAGCATTCACGTCATTGGGAGTTCAGAGGTCAAAGGTGAAGGCCCGGAGGTCACCAGGCAAGGGTCAGGCTGCGAGCGGCCTTCAGCCGCCATCACTGGACAACAACAACTCCATAGAGGCAATACACTACGTATTGCCTCTATGGAGGCCCGTCGTGAAGTCATTAGTCGTTAACAGCGGTGATCGTTAAGAGGGGTTCTACACGGGAGAGCTTTGTTTTATGGCCCGGTCACACTGATTGTATGGAAGTTCCGAAGTTAAGAAGTTTATTTCCAGACTAAAGTTCAATGAGCTAAAAAGCTATTTTTGTAGGGGGCGACTCGGCCAACAGACATCAACGCATTCCATAATTTTAGATTAAAAAGAACCTTAATACTGTAATAACAATTGTGAGAATCGGGTTTCCCCTTTTTTATGGCAACAAAACAGGTGTTGAGATGTTAAAACACCAAACTGAAACCTTTTACAAGGAATCATGTCTGCATTAACCACAATACTTGTGGTCAGAGTATGTTTTTTGTTTGCATTCTGACCATATGTCAGCTGTTATTTCCGACTCTCTGTGATTGCCTCTCTCTCAGATCTCTCATGCTCACATGTCCTTTGCATTGCACTCTCATGCCTTTAGATTGCACTCTCATGCTCAAATGTCCTTTGGATTGCACTCTCATGCCTTTGGATTGCACTCTCATGCTCAAATATCCGTTGGATTGCACTCTCATGCTCACATGTCCTTTGGATTGCACCACTCTTCGATCTTGCATTAACATCATGCTAATCTCTCACATTAACATAGCCACTTCCGTGCCCTCGTCGAGGAGGCCGCTCTCCGTTCTCACATGAACATCACTAGCCCCGCCCACTTCTTTATAACATCACTAGCCCCGCCCACTCCTTTATGACCCTAGGGCTACACCCATTACAAACCTTTTAAAACAATCTGCCTCAGCAGCAGACCATGCTTTCCCACCTGATGACGGACGCTTGTGTTGCACCCGAAACGTGATTTATTTTATACCTACGTGATGACTTTACTGAAAGAACCAAAGAGTATGGATTCCTGCAGTCACGAAAGCTTCAAATCAAGATTATCAGAGTATGTTTTTTGTTTGCATTCTGACCACAAGTGTTGTGGTTAATGCAGACATGATTCCTTGTAAAAGGTTTCCGTTTGGTGTTTTAACATCTCCACACCTGTTTTGTTGCCAGAAAAAAGGGGGAAAACCTATTCTCATATTTTGGCACTGGCAACGGTCCCATGATGTAATAACAATTGTAAAATTACATTCACGCTTAAACTTTAGTGACTTTAATCGTCAGTTTCACTGAGGACAGATGGCAGAATGGAGATGTAAAGTATTTGGCTGCTCTACATTTTCCACGTGATAAGCCACTTCGTTCAGCTATTATTTGTCGTCAGCTTGCATCTCAAAAACGAGCTACATAGCTCAGTGGGCATTATCTGGTTAAATAACAAAAAATTGTTCAGTTTAATAATTTAGTTTTAGTGCATTGTTGCTCATACGAATCAATCATCCCACAATGCAATGTGTAAGCACAAATGATTTTACTTTTGTAGTGGCATAATTGGTGTCACTACTGTGCAGCGACTGTATCTAGTGAAGAAGTGGTACTGCATGCAGCGTGAGCATGGCACAGAATGGCTCACGAGAGGGCAGGGTCCGGGTGTCACCGAGGTCGGGTCAGGACATGATGTCCTGGCTGAACCCGAGAGGGCAGTCAAACGGCAGGTCGCGTCAACTTTGGGAATGAAGCCACCATCTACGATCCTCGGTCTCCGCTCGTGGACCAGGCAGCCTGTTAGCTGTCCTGATCTGACGATATCGCTACCCCCGTGCATGTTTGTTAGGAGCGGTGGTCACCACCCTATGCCGTTATCCTGTTAACGTTAAAAGTTACCTGTTGTGAGTTAATAAAACGTTTTGTGTTAGTCAATAAAACGTGTTGCCAACAAGGTCAAGTGTGCGCCTCAATTGAACCCACGACACTTTTAATGTTTATTTTAGGAGTGATACTCGGCGATTACTGAAGGGGTTTGTCTGTTGCTCAATGACTAATGTTAGCATAATTTTTCAAATGTACATTTACAAAATTGGTCATCAGAAAACATGAAAATATAATTTTCATCACACTCCCATGGTGTAAACAACTCTTATCCATTCCCTCTACTGGCCTAAGTGCTATGAAGAAGGGCCATTGCCTGAAACGTCGCCTAGTCTATATTTTTTTTTATTTTAAGGCCACAGTGTTATTGATAGAAGTGTTTTAATGCAAATCGGAGACCTGGAGGCCCAATCTAGAGCGGATTGTGGCCTACTTACGCACACCGGCCAGGCGTCGTGTTCGAGGTTGACGTGCCCACGTTTTAGGGGCCGTCCATAAATGACGGCACGCGATTTTGGACGATTTTTTAACCCCCCCCCCTTGATCACACGGCATCACAAAAAGTTAGATCCTCCTACAATGACGTCACAAAGCTCCGCCCCGCCCCCCCCAAAAAAACACATGCTTCAAATCGCTTTAAACTATTGTCATTGTAGGGTGTATTTAATGTGGCGCTGCACTTTGATGTTGTAGGATAAAACATTTATTAAAAAGTAGATTTAATTAAGTAGACCGTGTTGATAAAGTTGCGCATTTTGATGTGACGTCACATTTCTCAACCCCCCCCCCCCTCGTCACAAATGTCTGACCCCCCCCCCAGGTGCGTGACGTCATTTATGGACGGCCCCTTACCCCACTACACGCGACCTGCCGATTGCCTGCCCTGTACCCATGGACACTGATGGGTGGACAGAGGTGGGGATGGTTTAACTTTCTTTTTCCAAACTGCCTTTCCGGGAGATGGAATTGATGATCACTGTATTGCAAGTACAGTGTTCTAAAGATCACAAATGTTTGCAGGACTTTATTCGCTTTTTCATATTTTAATTTTTCATCTTAATGACTTTAATTTTTACCTGTTACGTCTCCGCTTGGTAGTTGCACTCCGAATTAAAATGTTGCGAGGTTACTTAATACTGTGAAGTGGCCAGCACAGTACATAAATTGATTCTTCTATCCATATGTGCGAAGCTGTTGTATAAATTCCACATTCCTATGACAGGGACAAGACCATCCACACAGCAACAGTAGCAACCAATATTCCTAGCTCTTTCGGTAAAGTCACGTTGAAGGGAAACAATATATATTTATTATTTTGTTTCCCTTCAACGTGACTTTACCGAAAGAGCTAAGAATATGAATTACTGCAGTCACGAAAGCTTTAAATCAAAAAGTAGCAACCAATGTTGCTTCATAATTATAATTAAGATAATAGTTAAGTAATTGTTTCAATTCTTACACATTATTAACCATCTACGTTTTGATGTAAACCACTCGCACCGCTCAAAATAATTGCAAAAGCTGTCACCCATTTGAAGTGTGGTTTATTACCTTCCTCAGCAAGCCTTGACTGCAAATACAATAAGGCACACTGCGCATAACAAGTGCTGTTAGGGTGCAGTACATCAGTGGCGTAGCTATCGAGCGTGCAGGCTATGCAACTACACCAGGGCCCCCCCACAGGCCGGAGAGGCCCAGACACCGGCCTATGAAGAGAGGGAAGAGATATGACGCAGTAAACACTAAACTTTTTAATTTTACCAGGTAAGGCCCACTGAGCTATCTAGTTATTTTTCAGAAGTGACCTGGCCACAAATGACAGCTCAACGAAGTGGCTTATTGCGTGGAAATGTACAGCAGCCAAATACTCCAGGACACGTGTTGTTGATCCTCAAAATGTAGAGGGAAAAAAACGGAGCAACCGGAGAAAAATCTACGCGACCACGGGGAGAGAGAACACGCAAACTCCACATACACAGGCGTCAAGGTCGGGATTGAACCCACGACCTTCCTGTATACTAGGTGAGGTGGTTAACATCCCCTAGCCACCGAGGCGCCCCACCTATGAACGCAGAACGTTGGGCCAGACGTTCCAACCACATGCCGACGTCGGCCAAACGTCGCGTGTTTACCGAGGTCGACACGAGAGGCACATTTTCATTCCTTTGCGCCAGGGGCCGTGCCAACCCACGCTACACCATTGGCACGCACAGGTCGGGGGGGGGGGGGGGGGGGGCATGTGTACGTGGCAGGCCCGGCGGCCCTCAGAGGGGACGGGTGATGATGGCAGCCATCAAAAAGCGCAAAGCCGCAAGAGGGGGGGGGGAGGGGAGGGGCGACGAACATTTACAGACAATTACATTTTTGTAAAGCGTCCAAATGTGGACCATATCTCAAGACAATAAGCGCGGCGTCCGCACCATCGCATCATCTGGAAAGGATAAGGGGAAAACTAATTCAAATGAAATGAAAAAGTTGGAGAAAGTGGGATGTGTGGTTGGGGGAATATGATACATGATGCAACGGCAGCAGCAGCAGCAGCAGCAGCGCAGGGTCACTGCGTGTAGAGGCTGGCGGCGAACACGATATCGCGCTTGATGGCGTCTGACGCCCGCTCCATCTTGTCGCGCAGGATGGGGTCTCCGATGACGCGCGCCGCTCCCCGCACGTCCCGGCATGCCTCGTGCAGCCGCTGGACGCAGCGCACCACCACCCCCTCCTGCACGTCCGTGAGCCGCGCAATCTCCGCAAACGGCTGGGGCGGTGGGTGGTGGTGGGTGGCGGTGGTAGCGGTAATGGTGACGGTTCATAGTGGTGGTGGTGATGGTGGTGGCAGTGGTTGTGGTGGTCATGGTGGCGGCAGTTGTGATGATTATGATGGCGGTGATGATGATGATGATGATGGCGGTGGTCGTGTTGGCGGTAGTGGAGACAGCAGTGTTGGTGGCGGGGATCAAGGTGGTGATGGGAATAATAGCGGAGGTGGCGGTGGTGATGACGGTCGCAGAGGCAGCAGCGGTGGTGGTGTCAGTGGTCACAGTGGTAGTAATGATAATGAAGGCGGTGGCAGTGATGGCATTGCCGGAGGTGATGGTAGTTGAGGCAACAGTGGTGGCGGTGGTCAAGATGGTGATGATGGTGGTGGTGATGGTGTTGGCGGTGGTAATGGTGGTGGTGGGGAAGATGTTGGCGGTAGTGGTGAGTGAGTTGAGTGGTGTTGGTATCACAAGCAGGGGAAGGAGACAGTGTTGGCATGAAAAAGGGGACTTTTCTGTTACGGCCCTAAGGCTTTGTCACGGTCTTCCCATCAGCGTGGGTTTGTGGCTCCAGGTTGAGGAGGCCACAGAGATGGGCTCACGCGACAAATGCCGCCTGTGCGAGGCTATCTCACTCGCTGTACCCAACTCTGGCCCCTAACAACAACAATTATGGACTGCATTGGTAGTGGTGGTGTCTAATTAGTTTGGCACCACTCTGCCATACAAAACAATAGAATGAAATTTGAACATGTACATGGTGGCCCAAACGTCAGGACATACAGGGTAATTTCTTTTATTCTAACACTGACATGATTTTTGTTGAAAGAATTCGTTAATTTAATATTTGATCTATTATGATTATTCTCAATATCTATTTTTTTTTCTCCCTGTGGGGGTTCACATCAAATCTGTCGTTTTTACCAAACTCGACCAAGAACCCCGATTGAGAATTGGGACAACCATCCACGGGCTCCGATTAGCACGGTTGGCTGCATACCGTACCGTGCGAAAGAAGTTCAACACGCATACATACAACAAAACATAACTGATAAATGCCCAAAAGCTTGCACACGCCTGCAATCTTGACAAAAGAAACCAGTCCTAAATGAATTTCAAAAGAGAATTCGTGCATCATGCATGAATGTTAGTGGAAGTCGGTTTGAACATTCGTGGAAAAAAATGTGATCTTGTAAAAAAGTTTTACTATTAAGTATTTTTGTTTTACCAGGTAAGGCCCATTGAGTTATACAGATATCTTTCAGGAGCGACCTGGCCTCAAACGATAGCCCAATGAAGTGGCTGATGTGGACATTGTATAGCGGTTAAATACTCTAAACGCATGTTTCTAAATGTGGAGGGAAAAACCGGAGGATCCGGAGAAAACGTCCACGCGACCGTGGGTAGAACAAACAAACTTCAAATATACGAGCATCGTCAGGGTCGGGATAAACATAAACCCTAACATTTTTGGGCACAAGGTGTATATTTGTTTCACTGCGTCTCTCACCATGCCGCGGGCCCACTCGTACACGACCTCGACCAGGCCGAACTTGTACTGATCCACAAAATCCTCCACCGACTCCGAGATGCCGCACTCACGCTGCAGCAGGGCGATGCGTTCCGCCACGCCGCGGATTCGCTCCACACCCTGTCAATCGCGTGCAGGCACGCACACAGATACTGTAAACTAAACTATCGACTATTTTTATTTACCAGGTAAGGCCCCGATGAGCAATGTAGCTCTTAATCAGAAGCGACCTGGCCACAAATGATAGCTCAACGAAGCGGCTTATCATAACGTAGAAATATATAGGTAGCCAAATACTCTAAAACGCATGTTCATTCTAAATGTGGAGGGACAAACCAGAGGACCCGTAGAAAAATCCACACGACCACGGGGAGAACATGCAAACTCCAAATACTGTATACAGGCGTCAAGGTCAAGACCGTGAGTGAGTGAGTGATTGATTGGACAAGCGGGTGAGCGACTCAGAGAGTGAGTGATTCTTACAAGCAAGTGAGGGATTGGACGAGAGGTGATTGGACAAGCAGGCGAGCAAATGGGCGAGTGATCAAGGGAGACGGGCCGGTGGCCGGCGTCATGGGCGAGCGAGCGGGCGAGCGGGATCAACCGAACGAGCCGGGTAAGAACGAGCGGGCCAACAGGGGACGAGCAAGCGATGGAGCGGCCGGGCGGGCGGGCACCTGCTTGAGTGTGGGCGTGAGCGCAGGCTCGGTGCGCGTCTTCTGCTGGAAAACGAGGCAGGAGAGCAGCGCGGCGATCTCTTCCGGCGCCAGTTCAGAGAGCGCGTTCTCGAACACGAGCTCGGTGACGAGCAGCTCGTGGCTGCTCACCTCGCACGCCACGCGGCCCTTGAGCTGCACGGCGCATGACTCGTCCAGGTAGCCCAGCTGCTTCAGCACCTGCAGTGGAGGGTGGGGGGCGGGGGGGGGGTGGTGTGTCAACGAGAGAGGGGGCGGTAGCAGCGCCGGCGGCAGTGGCGACGTTTAAAGGTGGCGGCTACGACCAGAGCAGTCCCCGAGGGCACGGCGAATCGGGGTGACCGCCCTGAGCCCCGCGCTTCGATGTTACGGATGTCATACTTCCGGGTTCAGCTTGAAGGCTTCGGGGGGACTCACACGGTGGGATTTGCCCCGGACCCCACACCCCACACCCCCCCTTATGAATGGCCCTCCAGCCAAGGCCCATAGACAAAGAACCCCAGTATAGCCTTAATAGACCGTTGGGGCAAGTGCCGTTCACGAGCACCGATGAAGGCTGACACGACACGCAAGGGGGTGGGTGGCCAGTACCACGCCCGACCACCTTTGTCTCCCTAGTGACGATTTTTAAACACTGCTCCATGTACTCATTTAAGGTCTGAGTCGACCTAGGGGAGGCCCAGGACCCGTTGAGCTAATCGTCAATGGTGTTGGCAGCGAGCGGGAATCGAACGCGGGTCGCCGGGTCCGTAGCGCCGCGCAATAACCACTCCACCGCCGTTCCCCTTAGGAGTAGAGGCGCGCATACACACATTTGTGGGACGGACAGGGAGACACACGGCACAGGCACCTGGATGCGCTGGTGGTACTCGGGCAGGAGGTGCAAGCTCTGGTCGGACATGAGGAACTTGACATGCGAGAGCTCCCTCTGAACGCGCGACCGCTCCTCCATGCGCGCGTACTGCAGAGAAACACGGTGAAGTACGGCCCGGTGCCATTAGCGAGCATCCGTTACAAATGAGGGGATGCAACCGGAAAATCAAACGGACCTTCTCGGAGCGAAAGAGTCTTTCCCTCTCTCCCTCTTTGTCTCTCTTACTTTCTCTCACTCACTCTTGCGCTCACTTTCCCTTCCACTCTCTCCCTTTCTCTCTCTCCCTTTCTCTCTCTCCCTCCCTCCTTCTCCCTCTCTCTCCCCCTCTCTCTCTCCCTCCCGGCTCTCTCTCACTCCCTCCCACTCTCTCTCACTCCCTCTCACTCCCTCCCACTCTCTCTCACTCCCTCCCACTCTCCCCCGCTCTCTCCCTTTCTCTCTCTCACCTGCGACTGGAACTTGGGGCTGGCCGTGCAGGTGAAGTTCGGGATCCTCTCAGCGAGGACGCGTGCCCGCATGCTCGCCTCCACCGCGTCGGCCTCCTTGGCGTGGAGGTCGTTCACGGGGTCCAGGGGCCTCAGGGCCCCACTGCCGCCGCCACCGGCGGCCGCCGCCTCCGCCAGACGCATCAGCTCCTGCGTCGCCGTGGTCACCGACTGGCCGGGCGGGTCGCTCCTGGAAGGGCGACACGAGTCAACACGTGCGTCTCCACGTTTTTGGGGGGTGGGGGTGAAGTGTATTCAAAGGGAGGGGGGTAAACGTCGCGATCGACGCCACGACCCGGGTTTTCTCCCGTGCGCGAGTCACCGGCAGCGACACGGCTTTTGCACGAACGTATCGTTCGTATCGGATCACCGTTACATTTCAGTTTCATTTATTGGGTATAGCCCTGTGAGCCATTCGGCTCTTGAATCGGGTGCAACCGCAACAAACAAAAACATGAACAAGAGAGCCATCGTGGCCCAGTGCTACAGACGGACATAACTAACGCGTAGGACAAGTCCCTAACAGCAACGGGGCTTTACACTAAAGTATCGTTCGTACAAAATCGACTTTACGCAGCTCCGATTAGCACGGTTGGCTGCGTACTCGTGCGAAAGAAGTTCGACAAATATACACACATTTACGAGGGTTATCGTGTCCCAGCGTTACAGACGGACAAGACTAACACACAGGCCGAGTTCTTAATTGCGGCTTTACACTAAAGTGTCATTCGTGTCGGATCACCTTTACAAGAGTCATCGTGACCGCGTGTTAGATGGACGGAACTAACGCAAAACGTTAAGACATATTAGTCTCAAAAGTATATGAACCCGATGGCCAAAACGACATTTCACAGCCCGTCCACCATAGCCAACCAACAATCGTCCCACATCAACGCGTGTACATCTGCAGCCCTTTGTCAATCCACTGCTGGATGAAGGCCTCCCCATCCCGTGTAAGTTAGGGGGAGGCGGTCATGGATTTTTTTTCTCCGGGTGCTCCGGTTTTTCCCTCTACATTTAGACGCATGCGTTTTGATTATTGTGCCGCTGTAAATTTTCACACGATAAGCCACTACGTTGAGCTACAATTTGTGGTTCAGGCGCTTCTGAAAAGTGTAGCTAATATCTCAATGGGCCTTACCTGGTAAGATTAAAAAAAAGTTTCGTTGCATTTGTATATTCTTTTCAGCCCGTGTTTACTTTTCCTATACTTTGCACTCCTATTGTGTTTTTTTATTACTTGATGTAACCTTCTTACCCGCCCCTACTGGACATCTGTGAAAAAGAGCTTTACAGCTCATCGGATTCCTCCAGTATAAATAAATATTTAGATTCTGATTTGACTGTACTTGACACCAGGCTGCTGTTGTTATTATTACGAATAAAATTAATCGACCCGCGAGTCGCATCGCGATCCTGAATCGTGGCAATCATTCGAATCGTCGCAAGGTGACGTCATCACAGCAGCCCCCACCCGCCCACCCACACAGAGCCCACCTGAATCGCGGGATCTGCCTCTTGTTGAAGTCGTCGATGATTTTTTCGGGGCTGATCTTCAGCGTGCGGTCCGCGATCACGACGATGTCGTCGATTCGCAGCTTCTCCACCGAGTGACCGCACGCCCCTGTACGCAGGGTACGGGGCAGGTTGGGGGGTGAGGGGGTGGTGGTGATGATCACGACGACAACGACGATGACCACGATCATGATGGGAGACAGCTGGACGCATCGTCGCACATCAGGAGACCGCGAGAGATAGCGACGGCTTGGGTGAGGCCTTCATCCAGCCGCGGACAGACCACGGCTGATTACGACGACGGACGGGAGGGAGGGAGGCCCTCGTACCTTCGGGCACGAACACTTTGGTGGCCAGCAGGTGGTCCGGAGTCGGCGCCGGAGGGGGCGGAGGAGGGCGGGGGGGGGCTGCCCCCCCTCCCTCGGCCGCCAGCTTCTGCTCGCAGAGCACGAGCGCCGTGTACGACCGCGAACCGCCGGCCTCCGTGGACACCTGGGCGGGGGGGGGGGGGGGAGAGAGAACCAAAAAAAATCCGGCACGAAGTCGTCGTCGTCGCCGCCGGAACGCACGCGCGGTTAGCACGGTCGGCTACGTGCGGTGCGAAAGAAGTTCAACGCAGTACATACACACACAGTCCCGCTGCTCGCCCAGCTGCATTGGTTGCCGCACGAACGCATTGTGAGGTCGCGCACGCCACAAATGAACCACGAAAGCTTGCCGGTCCCGTCAAGGAACAAAAACCATCACTCAAACTCCGGGCATCCTCGCAGCAGCGGCTTTCGGCTTGCCGTCGAACAGAGACGGTCACGTGCGCTTTCAGGCGCGTTTCTGTGGCTGTCTTCCGATATTAGGAAGCCCACTAAGAACTATGCACTTTTTAAATAATCGAGATTGAAAACGAATTTCTTTAGAACTGCTTTTTAGCGTTTAGCTTGTTGTCCGATTAGCACGGCCGGCTACGTACGGTGTGAAGGAAGTTCAACGTACTTGCATAATTACAATGACAACGATTATTAGAGCTGGACTATCGGATGTATTTAGCTTTCCTCCGGTAGAAATAAACACTCCGATTCCGAGTGTGCGGTCCGGCTTGGTGCACAGCGGGGATCGCCGGCGCAGCGGTTAGCGCGCAGCGCTACGAGCCCTGCACCCTACCGCCTGCACCGCCCCCCAAACCCCCGCCCCCAGGCGGCACCTGCAGCAGCACGGCGAGGGAGTTGGGCGCGCGGGACGAGTTGGCGACGACCACGCGGCCCGGCGAGAGGGCGCGGGCGCCGGCCGGGGTGGCGGCGGCGCCGCGCAGCGCCTCGCAGCGCAGCTCGACGAACTGGCGGGCGCACGCGTGGTACTCGGGCAGGTCCGACAGCTGGCCCGAGCAGTCGGCCTCCGCCATCCCAGAGAGCCGCGCGGAGAGGTGCCGCACCCTGTGCTCGTGCTCCTGTGCGCGGCGGGAGTGGAGGGCGTGCGGGGGGCGAGGGAATGGAGGGGGGTAAAGGCAGGGGCCACAGTCGCTTTGTGAGTGTCGCTGCCCTCTTGTGGTCTCTTGATATAAATTTCGATTTAAAGCTTTCGTGACTGCAAGGATTCATCTTCTTTGGTTCTTTCGGTAAAGTCACGTAGAATGAGAATAAAATAAAATAGCACGATAAAATTCTCACGACGTTTCGGCCACAACACAAGCGGCCTTCATCAGGTGAAGGGACGAGACTGTCTGGAGGACAGCGCTGGAGTCTGTTGAATGATCTTAAGGTTGTGTGGAATCCCTCCCCGTAGAGGCGGTTAAATTTCGATTTAAAGCTTTCGTGACTGCAAGGATTCATCTTCTTTCTTGATAATCTTGATAATCAATCACATTAGACATGCACACGTACTATACGCGCATACTCCACACACGTGCTCTACACGTGCTCCACATGTAACTGCACATACGTGCTCCACACTGCGCTACAAACCCGGCGACCCGAGTTCGATTCCTGCTCACGACCAACGCCAGTGACGATTATCTGAACCGTTCCTGGGCATCCCCTAGGTCGACTCAGACCTTAAATGAGTACCTGGTGCGGTGTGATAACACATCGCCATTGGCTAGACAAAGGCGGCCGGGCGTGGTGCTGCCCACCCACCCCTTCATGTGCCGTTCAACCTTCATAGGTGCTACTCGCGAACAAAATTTGCCTCAACAGTCTTTTAAGGCTATACGGGCGATCTTTCTCTTTTTATGTATGTATGTTGAACTTCTTTCGCATAGTACGTAGCCAACCGTGCATGTGTGCCTGTGCACGGGTGGGGCATCGGCCAGTCATCTCAGTCGGCCAACCCATGGCACCTGGGTCTGTCCCGTGACCTCCTGCCAGCGGGCGTTCGACACCTCACGTGGCCGCCTTAAAGTGCACATAGCCTGGCACAAGCGCCGCGGTGACGTCACCGCCATTCAGTGGCGAATGGCGGTTGTTGTTATATATTCTTGGTTCTTTCGGTAAAGTCACGTAGAAGGGAAACAATAAAATAATAAAAATATAAAACAATAAAATTATCGCGGTTGTTGTTGTTGTGGCGGTTGTTGAACCTTGGCATCCTTGCGCGTGTGGAACTCGGAGAAGCTCCTCTTCATCATGTCCTCCACGCGGATCGCCTCCACGCGCAGCAGGTTCAGGATCATGGTGTACGTGAGGCGGAACTGAGACTCCAGCTTCGTGGGCTTGCCCTGTACAAATAGACACGTACGCAAACTATTTTAAAACTATATATTTTTTATTTCAACAGTTAAGGCCCACACTGCGCTACGCAGCTCTTTTTCATAAGCGACCTGGACATCACAAATGATAGCTCAACGAAGTGTCTTATCATCACGTGAAAATGTACAGCAGTCAAATACTATAAACGCATAGAAATGATTCTAAATGAGGATGGAAAAACCGGAGGACCCAGAGAAATATACACGCGACCACAGGCAGAGAGAGAGCATGTTTTTTTGTTTGCATGTTCACAAGTGTGGTTAATGAAGACGGGATTCCTTGAATAAGGATGCTTTTTGGTGCTTTAACATCTTGACACCTGTTTTATTGCCAGAAAATGTAAAACTTATTGTTATATCTAAATATACAGCAGGCGTCACAGGGTCGGGATCGAACCCACAACCTCCTGTATACCAGGCGAGGAAGTGAACATCTCGCCAAAGCAGCGCCCACCTACAGCAGAGGGGGGGCGGTAGTAGCGCCAGCGCTCACCAGCATCATCTTGTGCAGGTCGGACATCTCCGGCACGCCCATCTTGCACAGGATGATCACCATGCCCGTGGTGTCGAGTCCGCGCCTGCCCGCGCGCCCCGCCATCTGGATGTACTCTCCTGGGGGAGGGAGGCAGGGTGGGCACGGGGTCGAGGGTTAATAAAATATATATAGAAACGGGGTCAAAGGGTAACGACGCAGACCAAGGAGGGCGGCCACAGGTGAAAGGGCTGGGGGGGGGGGCAAATACGGAGCAGTGGAGGTCAGGACGTGATGAGGCAGCGCGTCCTGACCCCCACTGCTCCCCGGTCGCCTCGGCATTCCCGAAACCATTTAATTCGAGATCAAGGCAAAACTCTCCCCTGCGCAAAACGGAAACATAGAGAGAGATAGAGGGGCGCTAATCTCCTCTTTACAAATCCGCGCCAGAGCTGGAAATTCCACATTCACACAGGTGGGGGTGAATGTATCCGTTAAGAGACAGCACCGTTGACCTTCCACAAAAGTGGTTCCGATTCTATTTAACACAGAGGGAAGACAGGCCTAGTAAATCCCACACTCCCGCACCTACGATTAGCACGGTCGGCTACGTACGGCGCGAAAGAAGTTCACACACACACGCGTACGTATGTTACGGGCGGACGGATGGTTCGTGGGAGGCAGACACCGCCGGAACGCTGAGTCGAGATCTGAGGCCTTAACCGCCCGCCCGGCTGTGGTAAACTGCACTCCGGTTTTTCCCTCCACATTTACAATCATGCGTTTAAGACTATTTAGATTAATGTTCTGCTATAAATGTCCAAATGAAAGGCCACTTTGTTGAGCTATCATTTGTGGCCAGGTCGCTTCTGACAAATAAGTTCATACCTCCGTGGGCTCTGCCTGGTAGGATGGGGATGGTTTAGTTTGATTTGTGTGCGTTTGGGTGATTTGTTTACCTTTCGCGTACTTTGCACTCGTGTTTTTGTACCATCTGTTGTTGTAACGTTCTTAATCGCCCCGACTGGACATCTGTGAAAAAGAGCTTCATAGCTCATCGGATTCCTCCAGTTATAAATCATTATTCTGATTCTGATTCCCAAGTCTAGAGGACTTGGCGGTCTCAGTCCCGGCCAACAAATGACCGCACCACAAAAGACATCCGCCACCGCGTCAGATTTAGCTTTGTCACTCAGGCGTTCACGAATCACTCTAACTTTAGTAATAAATATTTTAACTCGCTATTTTGTATTTTACCAGGTATTCACCACTGAGCTATAAAGTTATTTTTTCAGAAGCGACCCGGTCACAACTGATAGCTCAATTAAGTTGGCTTTATATCACGTGGAAATCTATAGCGGTCAAATACTCTAAACGCTTGATTCTAAATGTGGAAGGAAAAACCAGAGGACCCACAGAATAATCCACGTGACCAAGGGGAGAACGTGCAAACTCCGAATACTGAATATAGGCGTCAGGGTTGGGATCGAACCCACGACCATCTGTATACCAGGCGAGGTAGATAACATCTCGCCACCGTGGCGCCTCAAAGAGGGATGATAGGCCGAGTCAATCCCGAACTCCCGCACCTCCGATTGGCACGGTTGGCTACAGCATAGAGTGTTGCCCCCT